CAATCTCTAGCCAGTCTTAAGGAAAACACTGTCTAGCAAAGGCTAGACAATGACTTTTCATGCTCCATTACATACTTATATGTATGACATACATAAATATCCTTACAGACTTTGTCTCATTTTCCTGATTTCTCATTTCCGTGTTAACTCTTTGTATCTATGGCCATTTTAAACGAGTCAAGGGTAATAGCTGAAGACAGAAGGAATAGGTGTTATTATCATCAAATTCTATTATTTCTCTAGTACTTTATGGTGGTCTGTCATTTCTCTAATTGTCTCTATTTCTGAAATATAGGGACAATTCCTTGAGATCTGTATAGGAAGCATGTAACTTAGCAAGTTCACAATAATTAATAACCAACGACAGGGTTAATATTGATCAATGAGTTACTTTAATACCTGTAGTAAATGAACTAGGATACACCTGTTCTAATTATATAATCTTTTCCTTTTGTGGTACCTAAGCAACAGGTACCTGTTCCCACATAACAAATCATATTATCTTTTCAGAGCAGATTTAAAAGTATCAAGATAAATAACTATAAACTGTGACACAAAATTCTCTGACATTTGTCTAACAACTCTAAATTTTATATTTCTTAGAGATGAATACTGAACAAAATTTTCAGTTATTTGGAAGAATCCCCAATATAAAAATTTTCAAAAATCATAAAGGAAAAGAAACAAAGTAATTATGTGACTCTAGAGCCCAGGACAGCCTTTTCTGAAGCTCGGTTCAATAGAGGATAAGGGAAGAAGAAACTGTCCTGATGCTTTCTTGACTTGCTTCTCAGCTCCCTAGTTCCCTCCTTTCCCTAAAAATAAAGATATAAAACTAGGCAATCTCTAAATGCCCATTAGGTCTGATGATTTATGAAAAACTCCATTACTAAATATTGTTCTAAAATTTTGAAAAATCTATAATCATTAGAGAAAATGAGAATATACATAATGGAAAAAATTCAAAATTTTGCCTCTAAGTGACATAGGTGGAGATGAATTCTATCCAGAGAGCCAGGCTCTAGGGTCCTCCTGGCTAGGGCCCTAGGATTCTCCTGGCTTATCTCCTGATGCATATTTGAGTAATGATCTGAGAGGTAGGAAAGAGTCAGCCATATGAGAGGCTGAGGAAAAGGAACAGCAAGTACCAAAGTCTTGTAGAACACAAGTATTCTAGGGGCCCTGGTAAATACAGTCAATAAGACAGACCTGGGACACCACACCTGATTTCTATCAGGACCTTATCATGGTTCACATTTTCTGATTCACCATGACATTTTGGGATGGAACCAATGAGCCATGGTCCAGAACTGCTTAGCTGGAACTCTAAAGAAATAACTTGACTATTGGAGAAATCTAGTTCTTTAATTCATATCTATTCTTAGCAAAGGAAAGAACCAGTTGTGGCAATTAGCTCATTTCAGACTTGAACTTACTTTGCCTTGCTTATCACGTTTAAAGGTAGAAGAAGGATGCGGGATTTTGAGTTGCTTTAATGACTGAAATGACTGTATCAATTCTATACTCATAGTCTAACACAGTAACTATATACCAGATCTTGATTGATTTTTACTCTCACAAAACAGACTTAAATAAGGATGTCATCTTTATTTTGCAATCTCTTCATTTGTGTTTCCTCTTTTCTCTCACCTTCAGACAAGAGCAAATTAAATAACCTGTTTTGGGCTTAGTAATACAGTTTGAGTATCCATTTTATGTGCTCCAATCTAAGTGAGAAAGACACTGTGAATTTGCACCATGCAACTCTGATGGAAATGAAGAATGAATGCCTATTAATTGCTGAAGAATGAGATCCTTTGCTAAGTTTGTGATAAAATATTCTAACACAAAACATTTGTCATTTCTATGAAGATATACTTAGACAAGTCAAGATAAATCTAAAAGCCAAGCAAAGGCAAAGTTGTTGCCAATTTGAGGTGCACCTGATGATTTTGAACTTTCTATGTTCCTGAATTTCTTTGTTCCTTCTTCCTGAAGCAGCAATTTTGTGTGGTGTTTGTCTTTGACTATGTCTTAGTGCATCTAGTTCAATATTTCACTACTTGGAGCACAAAAACAGATAATACTGCTGAATAGACATTTTGGCAAAAGTGCATTTTTAGGTAGAGGCTTGAGGAGCTATATTTTTAAATAATTTTTTACAAAGTGCCTCTGGAGTGTATCTTTTTAAACTTTCATCTTAAGATCTGGCGAGATGGTACTGATAGTTTTTGACAGAATTGCTACCTTGCCTACATTTTTCTTTAAACTGATGACTGTTCAGTTTTAATATAGTGCATCTTAAACCCAACATATGAATTTAACATTGGCCATGTGCTAGCCATGATGCTATGGCCTAGGGTAAAGTCAGATGAAAACTGTGCTCTTTGCTTGATCATAATTTGAGCAGGGTGGGGAAGGCAAAGTATAGCAAATATGAATATATTTATGGAGAACAAATAATTCTTCTTAATTCCCAAGGGAAAAGTTGTGCTTTTTGGCTTTTTTAGTAATGTCTTAAATAATACTCTCAACTTTTCCTTTGCTAACTGGTTCAGTAAAACTATTTGCTACTCCCTCATTTGCTATCCTGGAAACCTACGTGCCATCTTTGAGTTTTCTCTTGCATCACCTCCCACACCAAAATGCATCAGCAAGTCCTGGCAGTTTCACCTGCAAACTATACCTGGAATACAATTCTTTCCTTCTCTACTGTTTTCCCCAGCTCAAGCAACCATCATTCTCCACATGACTTATCATAACAGTTACCACTTGGACTTCCAGTTTCCACTGTTGCTTTTTGGAAGTTTATTTCCACATAGCAGCTAAGTAATGTTTCTTAAAACTACTGTCTGGCATATAGATCTTTAAGTGCTTCTCATTGCACTAAAAATAAAATACAGTCTTCTCTCTATGGTCTCCAAATCTGGCCCCTGATTCCCTCCCACCCTCTATCTGCTTACTATGCTTATGGTCTTTTTGTGCCCAGATATGCTAAGGTTTTTTCTTTTCTCTCCTGGCCTCAGGACCTTTGTATGTACTGTGAACTCACCCTGGACTTCTCCCTCTGATCTTCACAGGACTCACTCCTTCAGGTCTCATTCCCTATTTCCTTCCTCAGAAAAATTTCCATGACAACCCTTTCTAAGGTAAAAACCCACTCCACAGAGTCTCTATTTTATCATACTGGTTTATTTATTACTCTTTAAAATACTCTGATTTTTGTTTTTGTTTCCTTGTGTGTATATCCTCTAGGAGAATGTAAGCAGTATGAGATGGAGGTCTTTTTGTTCTTGTGTACTGATACACAAATAAGTGGATGTCACACAGCAATTGCTAAATAAATATGTTAAATGCATGAATAAACAAATGATGAAAATTAAATAATTTGCACCCCCCCCCCAAATTCATGGTGTGGCCTACATTGCAAGGGTGCTCAGACCTTCTTTGTAAAGCTGGTTTGTCTGTAAATACTCTTTTCTAGAAGGTTCAATTTCAGAGGCCCACTTGGGCACAAAATTCATTGCTAATATATAAGGAAAGAGATCAATCACACTTGGGAGATAGAAATCTGAACTCCAATGTAGAGAATGCCATATTTTTCTTGTATAAATTTAGATGAAAGCTAGTACAGTATAATGAAAAGGACATATGGATCATTTAGAATATCAGGTTCTGGCGTCAGTTAGGAATTTTGGGTGGGAATCCTGGAGCCATTATTTTTCTACGATGCAGCTTTGGGATTCATTACTTAACATGTTTGAGCCCTGTTCCCTCAACTATGGAAGACAATAGTCTTCTACAAAATTGCTTGAGTTTTCAACAAGATAATTCATGTAAAGTGCTGGGGACAGTATCTAGCACACAGTAAGTGCCTAATAAATATTAGAACTTGACTGACAGTTTCTTTACCTGTAGGTGGGTCTAGTCACTGCTGTTCTTTTGAAATGAACAGAAACCTAAACGTGTCAATGCTCACCCTTTAAATCATTATATCACCCATATTGAAGGACTTCATTATGTCTTTGTTTTCAGTCTTTCAACAAATATTTAATGAGGTTCATTTATTTACTAGTTACTATACTAGGTGCTAGATATCTAGCAATAAAAAGATAAAACGTGCTTTTTGAAAAGGCAACTTGATAGCATACTGATAATGGTGATACAGAATAAAGAGTTCTTGGGGTAGAGTAACAGATTTCAATGGAGCTTATAGAGAAGGTACCTGATACAGCATGGATGGGAATCAGGTAGACAGGCAGAGATGGCTTCCTGGAAAAAGTGGTATTTTTTAAAAAAACCCTCTCACTGATGCAAGTGAAAGTGTGGGAATATAGTAAGGAAGGACATTTCAAGAAGAGGGTACAGAAAATATAATAGTCCATGGCAGGAAAAGGAATGGCCCATCTAGACCTTGCATAAAGACTGTCTTTAAAAAAGCACATAGTTATGTACAATGTGTCAGTGTGTCATTTAAGTAAGATGAAATCCATATAGTTTATTAAAACATTCTCATAATAAGGCAGGGAATTAAAACTTCTGTCTCAAATGAGCCTTGCCATTTATGCATTTCTCTGTTGTGGGAACTCTGCCTTCACTAGTGTAAATCCAGAGTTTATTTGGACAATTTAAGCCTTCTTTGTGGACTCCAAATAATAAATTACCAAGAACTGATTAATAAGCTAATTGTTCAACCTTTCACTTCATTCTGCCTGTGTACACAATTTAAGTGGGAAAGAAACAAGAAATAGATTCCTTTGTTATTTATATTCACCTACATTCCACATTCCGTTCCTGTTGAGATTAGCAATTAGATTTCTAATTAGTTTTCCAAAATGGATTCATGGGTTTATTTCTTACACAGGTGGAAAAAATATAGGTACCAAATACCGAAAGGATTGACGTTTAATTTAAACTTTGTATGCCAATTACATATCTTTCCATACTCACCCTGTGATAGCAAAAAAAACAGGATGAATAAAATTTCTTAGACAACTTACCATCATTTCTCAATATTAGTGGTGTGGGTGGCCCAAGGACCTTGTGGTTTGTCACGGTATTTGTAACCACACAGGTATAATTGCCAACGTCTGACTTTTCTACTTTAGCAATATACAGATTCCCAGTCTCTTGGGAGACGAAGCGGCGATTATCTTGATAGGATGGGTATTCATTGAAGATCCAGGCATAGCTCAGCTCTGAAAGTAAAATAATCATCATTACAAACATGTCTTTTGGCACTGGAACTTTACTGTATCCAGAATGGAATGGTCGAGTTAGAAATTTATACTTTTGTCTCATGATGCTTTTTTACCCTGTAAAATATAAATGGGAAGTAATTACAGTCCCTGAAAGCATTTTGTTAGTTTTCCTACTGTCAGTCAACAAAGTTTTATTTCTAGAGAACTAGATGATACACTGATTGTTGATTAAGAGAAGTTCAACCTTTTTAAGTCAAGAGAATAAGCACTTAGAGTTTGCTAAGCATATGCCAAGCACAATGCAACATGTATTGAACTAATGATAGACTTGGGGAGTGTACACTTTTGATGCAACAATGCCAGAAGCCACACTGGAAGCTATTTAGGTCACTTCTTTCATTTTATGGAACTAGTCATTGTAGTGCATCTTAATGTCAGTCACATACTTGTATAGTTTCCAATGCATTTGATAGTTTTTCATTAACTGACAAACTCTGACACAAAGGAACAAAAGAATAAATCCAAACTCTTAGCTCTGATTAGAGACAACAAATCTTGAGTCTCAATCCAGTTTGTCTCCCCTACTAACCCAAATTCTACTCTGTTTTTACTTATAAGGTTGAACACTTCTCTATCATTTTAGTGAGTTGGAAGTTCAATATTGGAGCAAATACTCCTTAAATACACACTGACTAATTAGTTGACTGATTTCATAGATACAAATTTGAACTTCAAAAAATCATACTCATAAGAGCATGAGGCCAAATACTTATTCAATCCCAAAAAGCCAGTGGGATAAATTTAACAGAGTCAAACCTGAAATGTTTCTTTGAAAGTTCTAATTTTTCTTAAAGATTAGGTAAGTGTTTTGTGTATGAACACATGAGCCCATATTTTCAATTTCAACGAACCCTAATGAGTTTATGCTTGCTTCAGTGAAGTATCTTGTTCTATGGAAATCAAACTTCTTTAGCTGCAGACACTCCATGATTCCTATCTGTAAAGTGTGAACTCCAGATGGGTCCAAAACTGAGAAGCAATACACTAGCGACAAGCACTGACTAGCAAAAATTTTATCTTCAAAGTTTTATTTGAGGGAAGGGGAAGGAACCTCTGGTTTCAGAACTAGCTGGCTGAGTTACTACATGTCAATGTTTAATTTGATCCTGGGTAAAATTCTAAATGCAAGAAGTATCCTTGTAAAATGGCAGAAAGGCCATTTGAGTTTTGTAAAGAGAACACTAGTTAGTGTAAAAGGTATTTTTGTTGTTTAATCCTTCAATGAGTCCCAACAGTAATTGACCTCAACAACTGAATGTGCAATAGGAAACATGTTCAGCCTTAATAATCCAAAGGACGGTGGTGCAGGTTGTGTTCCCTTTATCCCAGTATTGTAAAATTTGCACATGCATTCTTTTAGAGAGATATAATTATGTTTATATGAGAATAGCTAATCATTTTATTTATGCATGTGCATGCAATTAGAGATAACCCCATGCTGATGTCAAGAAGATACTCAGTATAAATAAACAAGTGCTTCCCAGCAAGCTAGTTACTTCCTCAAGAAGCTAAAATCTGGAGGAGGAAAAGCCCAGATAATAGGTCATGAAAAGCACAATCCAGTATGGCAGCCCCACCATAAGAATAGGAGATTCTATTCGGACAATGGACTCCTGACTTGCTCAACTCAATATGTGAGTTTCAGGCAAACCTAATAATTTCTCAGCACTTCAAGTTTTCTCATCTGAACAATGAGGAGAACACTACCTATCCCCTAATTAGCTGTAAGAGACTTTTACGTATAAATTCGTATCTCCAGAGTCACAAGGTAGAAATCAGAAAGTAATTTACCAGCACAATATTAACCAACCCACACCTCTCCAAGGAAATTGTAATCAAATACATGAAACTAATTTTTTATCCCTGAAGATATTTTTCAAAGCTGCTGTAGTGCCTAGTGGCTGCAAGGTTTTCTGAATTCTGTGGGAGGAAGTTGTTTAGCAAACCAAATGCAAATATTAGAGAACAGTATCTATTTTTTTATTTTCTAATTGAAGGCAAAATATCCAAAAGACAAGAAGTCCAAAGTTCAAAACTGCAGTTACAGAAGGAAAGACATTTAACCTCTCACTTTTCCTTCCTTCCTTCATTCCTTTGTTTGTTCATTCCTTCCTTCCTTCCCTCCTTTCCTCCCTTCCTCCCTCTGTTTCTTCTTGCAGTACTGAGGTTTGAATTCAGAGCTTCCAGCTAAGCTTGCTAGGTAGGCAGTCTATCACTTGGACCACACCCTCAGCCCTAAAGTCTCTCACTTTGAAATTATTATTTTACTTTTGCCTATATTGGGGTTTGAATTCAGGACCTTGTGCTTGCCTAGCAAGTGCTCTAACACTTGAGCCATGCCCTAGCCCCTCTTTTTTGGTTTCAAACATTTTAATTTTTTTCAAGCATGTTCTTACATTTTTGCCCTGGCTGGGCTCTGATCATGGTCCTCCCATTTCTACCTTCCAAGTAGCTGGGATTATAAGTATAGAGGCCTCACTTTCAAATTCATAATCAATAAAATAATGATAATTTTAAATGTAGTATAGATACCTTGTGAGGATCTACTTATTAGAATCACTCTAAAATATCTGGGTAGACATTAGTTATTACTGATGTTGTATTTAATCAGTTTAGTTATTATAAAAGTAAGAAGAAAGTTAAAAACATACTCGATTAGCATGCTGTTTGATTTATTTACAAATAAGTAAATTCCTTTGGTTTCACTGACTTTGTGGCTGAAGCGACTTGGTGCTTGGGTAGGAGACACAAACAAATGGAAGTATACACTGCAGCATTTCCTCAACTGTGGTCCTTGAAGTAGCTGGTAACTTCCTATTTTCTACCTTACCATCCACTAAATTCAAAGGGTTGCATGATCAAGTGACTTGGAGAAGCACTGGTTTAAACAAAGTTCAAACAGATTTAAAGAAAGTTTTTCAGGACTGGCAAGAGATCTTAACATGCCAATGTCCTTTCAATTCTTTAGAGAGTGTTTAATCAGTGAAATGTGTACTATTGCCTCTCCCACTACACACACCACACACACAAATGCCCACACTTTTCTAAACCACTCATTCATAGCTCACAAGACTTAGTTTGGAAAATCCTGAGCTAAAACAATTAGTTGGATTGAAAAGCAGTAACCATAATATAAAAATGTATTAACTGTGCTACTTCAGTTTTGGGGAAAGTCATTAAGTAATATTATACAGGACAAGAGGAAACAACAATAGATCAAAATATTAAACTGTGCTTTTCAAAAGCTAGAGGAAAGGATTTGGAAAGTTTATATCATAAGGAAATGATAAATGTTTGAGGAGGGAGATAAAATTAACCTGTCTCAAATACTATCTAATCGATAACTGTATCAAAGTATTGCATGTTACCCCATTAACATGTACAATTTTTGTGTACAATTAAAAATTAATTTAGCTAAAAATAAGTAAATGGAAGTCAAATCCACGTAGCAAATGGAATACTAAAGAAAGATGAAAGTATATTCATGGGTGAGTCGGGTCATACTCAGATCTTCCTAATACATAATTTGCAGGATAACTTCAAGGTGTCTCAGCAGGCACTGCCGTATCTAGGGATCCAGCTATTCAGTAATAACATCTGCTCATGCTGTCCTATATGATTAAGAGTGAAAAAATTGTCATCGTATTTTTGCCTCATCTCTCAGGGGCCAATTGGCTCTTTTGCTTGACCCCAAGAGTTCCATGAACTCTAATTAATGGAAGATGTGACTACATATCAGAGGGAATAATTTATTTTCAAATTGAATAGAGAGCAAATGAAAGCAAAAACAAAAAAGAAAGCGGAGTAGTGAATTAAACTTATAATAATTTTCCTAAGTAGCAATAAAAATATAATATAGTAACTAGTTTTCATGCTATAGGAAAAGGGACAAACCACAGTTGCCAAGATGACTGTCAAAAAGATTGTTCTAAGGATACTATTGAACAGCATCAATGTTCAAGGTCTGACTTCTGTAAATACTGTTGAGTGTGGAACTGCAAAGGTCAGCAGGAAAGTCTTGACTGGTGAACTGGTAAAACTGTGATATACTAAATGCTGAGCCCCTAACACAAGGGAAGTCTTCACGAAGATATTAACTTAGTTTTCTTCACAGCAAATATCACCACCTGAAGTACTGTGTTTTTATTTGTATATAAGTCCAGGGCAATTGGGAAGAAGTGGGAGGAAGAGAATGCAATAATCACACGATATCAGACCAGGCAAAAAGTATAGGAAAGATACAAACTACCAGCAGATCACTTGTTCTATTTCTTCAATTTGAAGACACGAAGATTCTGAGGTCCAGAATTGGTCAATTTGGTGCATCAGACAGTGGCTGAACAGATGATGCCCTAGTGTTTCAGGCTAAGCTCCCATTCCAGTGCTCCATTAGGAAACAAGAGCCCTTGACATTTGAAAGTAAAGAGCAGAACTGTTACACCACTCAACAGACAATACAGATTTCCCCTAAGAACCAAAATCTATTTTTATCAGAGCAGAACATTAATCCACTGGGTTCTGTGAAATGCTATCAACATTCTGAAAAATAAAGCCAAGTAAATAAAACAAAATAAACTCTGATGTGCTGCAAGGAGCAAAAAAATGTATCCCACTCAGTTTGATTTCCTCAGGGACTTCCATGCAATATTTATACTTACTCAAACTTGACAGATTTCTTTTGATAAGTTTTCACACACTAATTGCACTGGAAGTGACAGGCAGTTTCTGTCCCATTGGCAATTTGTAACAACTGAGTAAACAGGTACTTGGAATGCAATATATTAAATAGATTGTGAAGCTTCTGATGCTCCATTGAAAACACTGAGACTAGTTATAATGTGATACTAATTAAGGCAGAAAGACCAAGAAATGGTTTTTTGATTTGAAGCATCCAAAGCTATTGGAAATTAACTCTAAAACTTCGCTCTCTCAATAGG